GTCAGTGTGTCATTCGAGTCTCTCCGTTTGGGTTCTGGAGTCATGCCAGCTGGATGCAGCAAACAACACTCTTCTTCAGATCTGTGCATGAAGAGGGCTCCTTGTCATTTCTGTCACTTTGTCAGCCAGTCTGCTGTTACTCAGTGTATTGTTTTCACACTGGATTTCTCAAACATCCTCAAATCTTTCTGCTTCTATTGTTGTAGGTCTCACTTTCAGTGTGTCTTTCTACTTCTTCTCTCATCATTTTTAGTCTCTCTCTTTCCCTTCAATGACTCTCTCTTTCTACTTCCCTCCCTCTCTCTCTAAATTTCCCCCCCAGTTTGGGCTTCAGACAGGAAGTCTTAGTATGTGTTTACATTCTGCTGTGACACTCACATGCATACCCATGTACAGTATGCACACACACCAATGTTAGAGCACGCATGCACAATTACATGCAAATACACTCAGGCACACAACATCACAAGCACAACTCATACATTTCATGTGTGATTTACTGTGTAGGTCCATAAAGTCCTTCACCAAACCATTAAATATTGTTATACATAAGGCTTACACTAAAAGGACCACTATAAAACACAAATGATGGAGGTTCTGCATGTTCCCTCTCATGAAATAAAGACGCATCCTCTTTAAAGTTCAGCAGTTTTTGTTTTTTTTCATGGATCTTCTTTCAACTGATTTTTCTCATTAGTGTCACCACAAGCTCTGGGTTATAGTACGTAACCAATGTGAAATACTACTGAATGTGCAGCACGTGCTTTTCAAGAGACACAAGAGTTAAAATGACCAAGGGAAGTATACAGCAGGTGTAAACATGTTGTAAAACATGTTAACCTAGATTCTTTTAATGTTAAGGGCAATGCTATAGGAAAGTGAATTACACCCTGTATGAAAAACATTGATATTTACACTGACAATGGAGTGTGTTCTAACAACAAGAAAAAAAAACTTAAATCTCTTTAAATCATTTGGAAAAATCAACAGTGTGTTGTTGATGCTTCCATGAACTTCTTCCTTTTTGATCTTAAATAACACTCTAGAAAATTAGGTGCCTTCGATCAAGGAGGAGGGATTTGGTCTGTGTCTTATGATAAATGTGAATATGAATGGAGAGTGATATATGGGATTGAACTGGAAGATGAAGACAGAAAGCCCTCTGATTTGTGCTAGGTTTAAAAAAAAACATTACTCACAACAAGATATGCATATGTTTTTACAAAAATAGTAAGAAACTTGCAAAGCAAAAAAATATTTCAAAAAAGATTCATGATCAAATATGACGCGATACCAGCGCTCTGTCATGACTGCTTTCTCGGTGATATATTAAAAATAACCTCAAAACACAAAATCTTGAACCTGAGCAGACCTTTTCATCTCTCTCTGCTGAGCTCGAACGACAAAACACGTCGGGCTTAACAAGTGATTTGATGTTCTTTTCATCCTGACACTTGTTTTTACTAAAAGTGGAAAATAAATGAAGAAAGGCAATATCATCTAAATGAGGGTAATCACTTCTCTCAAGATGATTAAAATTGTTTCAGCCAGTTGCTTTAAACCTCCACTGGCTGTAAGAAAAAATGTACGAAAATCAGAGATTGAGAATGACTGAGACTGAGACTGAGAATGAAAGATGAGGAGGGTGAAAATCAAATAAAAATACTGTTTTAATGCTGAAGGTTTTGCCATCGTGGATGTTATAAGAAGGAGACAGTTTGACAGAAGAAGAGGAAAGGCAAAAAGCTTAGACCAGAGTGATGTCCCATTTATTTCTTGATGCCACAGCCTCAGACATACAGAAAATGTTTGTATGGTGTGGTATATATAAAGTCTGCACTTTTAAATCCAACTCTAACACTACATGCTACCCATATGTCTCCTTTAAACTGCTATTTGGAACATGATTTGTGAATCAGTTGAACATATCTGTATAAATACGCACATGCCCGACTAAAAGTTGCATTCAAGTGTAAGGCTGAGTCTTGTCTCTTTATAATGTGTCTCTGGACCAACGCTCCATCCATCTTGCAGAATTAGACAGGTTTGTGTCCCCCAGTTTCCTGTCTAGAGGATCATCATCACTCACAGCCCGTCAGCGTTCCTCGGAAAGATCCGGAATAACGGATGTCAGGAGAATAGCCATGGATCAACTTGTTACTGAGGACGATGAGCTCAGAGAGAAGGTGCAGGACAGGGACAGAAAGGGAAGGAGAGAGAGAGAGAGAGAGAGAGAGAGAGAGAGAGAGAGACAGAATGGGGGAGGTGTGAAAGTAACAATTAGAAAAAGCAAAGATAGGGAGACAAAGACAGAGTAAGTGCTTATTGTAAAGTGTAAGTGTCTGTATGTATAGATGTCAAAATGACAGATGGATCATTATATGACATGTGTTTGTGTGTGTATATGTACTGTATGTGTGCAAGTGCGAAGACAGTAAATCAATGAGTCAGTCCAACCAGGAGGAACTGGAACGCTTTGTTTATGTCAGGGATGGTCTGCATATTGATGATAGAAGAGAGAAATGACGAGGTTTCTGCTCTTCTGACTGCACTCACCCCCCCATCCTCTCATGGTTTATTTGTCAGGAATAAGAGGGGGTGGGGTGGGGGGTGGATGGAGGATTACAGCTGTCCTGCAGGAAAAGCTCACTTTTTGGCAGTGGTGGCCACTTTCCCCAGACTGATGGGATTTATGAGAGATTTGAGAAATCGATCGCTTGTACAAACAGTCACATGTATTCCTCTTATCAAGATGCAAGTGGAAACGTCAAATGAAACACACTTTCTTGCCAACCACATCTCCTGTAAACCATTACCCACCACTTCAGAGTATTTATGTTCAACAGAGTGAGACTTTAACAGTGCACCTGTCAATTAAATGGTTCCTGAAGAACATTATTTAGTATGTTTTTTACAATGTGATGCTGAGAATGCTGCATCTAGGGTTCGTGCGCCTTCAAATCACCCCATTATCGCACTGTAGGTTAGAGTTTCCTAAACCAAAAAACGGTCAAGAGCTTGTTTCCTGTGGCTCTCTACATGAGTGTGAACATGCTTTCACATAAGTCACAGACTAGCTGTGAACCCTTTACCGAAATAGTGGCTTAAGTCTTAGCTCCTTTTTTTTGGAATTAAAAAAATGGAAAAAATAAGTTAGCACATTTTAGTTTGGGCTGATTCTCTATATCATGTCGTATGATCTGCAAAGCCACGTCTCCTGTCTCTTCTACACTCTAATCCCCACTGACGATTGTTTAACCAAATGTCCCACTCGCAGAGCGTGTACACACACGGCCACAGAAACTTTGAGATTTGCCTCAGACTTGCTGTTTAATTCACTGTCAACCTGACAAGATACAGGTTCACAGTCCTGTCTGGTTGACAAATCGACGCACACATGCACACAGACACGCAGTCACACAGTCACACAGACACATTTGTGACATGATTGTGTGCCCCTGGGTGCCCAGTAGCAAAGTTGTAGTGGTAAGATTGATATTCAGCCTGGTAGGTACCCTCATCTTGATGGATATTGCTGACTAATGATGGTGTTAAATCATTTAGCATGTGGCGTGCTGAGTGCCTGACTGAGTACAGGAGAATTAGTAGTGACTGTGTGTGGAGACAGTGAGGAGACATGGTGAATGTCATTTACATTATATGTTTACGGTCTTGGCTTTTAGCAGATGTTCTTGTCAAAACTGACTTTAAACTGACAGTATTAATGTGATCTCAGAGCACACATATAAGAAACAAGTCTTGCACAATAAATGAGAGTGTAAAAGACACTTTGGGGTCATCTGTGAGTGTGAGTACAGGAGATTAAATATGAGTCATGATTTGGGATTTGGGTGAACTGAGGTATTTTCTGAGGAAAAAAATATTTTAAATTAATATCACAGGATTGGAGTGACCTTTGTTTTTTGACTGGAGCACAAGCCTCTGAACAATTAGGAAATGAGCAGCAAGAAGAGTCGAGATCTGGGGAAAAACACAGAAGAAAAACAACATCTGGACAGATTTGTGGAGCTGGTGGAATGGATTATTCAGAGCCTCCCTCAATGGGAACTTGAATTTGATAACAGAGGCCACTGGCAGTTACAGTAATGGCAGAAAGACTAGTGCACATACAGCAGTACACAGGATCAGTGGTAAGGGTTGAAATAAGTGTTTTAGATTGGAAGGAACTGCAGGAGTTGCAACCCAGAGTCCCTACAGTAAAGTAAAGATCTGACTCATTGGATGGTGTAGAGTGCAAAACTGCAAGCTCATGGACGGATTATGAGACAATGGGCCCCTGGGCATGGACTTGCAAAAAGGCACCCCACACCTCATATATAGGAGCAAGAACCACAGACTGAAAGACACAAGTCATTTTTGTCATTTCGCATCTCATTATGGTCATGCTTGTTTTGTGTCTCTCTGTGAGTGTTTTGTATGTCATTGTGCTTGTTTTGCACTGCTTCGTATTGTGTTACATGTATTTTATTAATTTTGTGTGTCTGTGGTCATTTTGCATCTCTTTTTAGTTGTTAGATTGATGTTCTGATGAGAAAGATAAACTTACTCACACATTATTGTAGACTGAAGTATATTACAGCACTCAGGGTGTGTTATTTTTCTTAGAATTTCTGAGCTCTCTCTTCTGTCTAAAACATTGGAAGTTGTTCTTGCCTAGAATTGAGACTTGGAAAAATTTGATCTGACGTGCCACAAGTCTTATTTTTAAAGCCCTACAAACTGTGCATGCAGTTGCCTCTATGCATTCTAAAAAGCAACTTTGACTTTCTTCAGTTCAGAGTCTTAAACCTCTTGCATTAATTTGTCAGCTACCGTATAACAAATGCATGAAAGTCATGAAAATCCGACTCTTTCTCTTCTGGCTCTTCGTGTCTTTCAATTCCAAGAACAAAACCTGTCAGCTTTAGGTAGGTTCATGTTTAAACACATATGAAAAACAACGGCACAAAACAACACACAGTTAATAACAAGACTTCAAGTGAACTCTTTGAATGTTTATTTTCAGACACACACATTGTACTTAGACACACCATTAGACATCATTAATTGGCAACAGTCTAGTGAGATACTAGAATGTCAATAACAGTGATGCATAGATTTTTCATACTATGGATTTTTCTGATCCAAAGAAAAAATCAATAGACCAAAAATGTACTCATATGAGCTGTATAATTGTAACGCAAATCATGTATATATTTATATATGTATAAAAACAGACATACAGTAACGCTGGCCTTTTTCATAATTGACAAAGTAAAACATAAAACAAATAAAAATCATCTATTAATAAAATCCTGTCTGCATACATTCATTGCTCCTTGTGATGTTTCCATCTCACAGTAAAAACAGAGAGATTAAGACGCCTTCGAAAGACAACAAACAGAAAGGAAGAAACACAGAGGATCATTACTTCCAACAAGGCACTTGAATCATGCTGTCGACTTAACATTTTATAAAATCCGGCTATAGTCACCACACTGTTCACAACTGAAGAGGAAAATCTTTATGGAACTTTATGATTAAAAGAAAAGTTTTTGTACCGAATACAATAAATTATCCATTCATGTCACATTTCAACCCAAACTGTGCTGTCGTCTGAAAAATCACCTGAGTAACTAGTTACTGTTCCCTGCTTACTTAATGTACAGTAGTGTTTCTGACAGACTGACATTTTGCTGCACTGTCCACTTTAAAAATTGAAATATTTTTGCCTCCATAAGCTATTGTTAGCTTTCCCAGCAGGTAGACACAATGGCCAAAGTGTCTAATGTAAACATGCTGTGAGACGTGATCCTGACATGCAGCGGACAATAGTTGATACCTGCCCTTTAGACTAATAGTATTTAAAGGTGTGTGTATGTGTATGTGTATGTGTATGTGTATGTGTATGTGTATGTGTATGTGTATGTGTGTGTGCGTGTGCATGTGTGTGTGCACATCAGTCGGCCTCCTGTCTGTAGTGCAGGACGTAATAGTCATGGACGTACATCAAGACGGCGAATGGCTGACCAATGATGATGGACATCCACACTGCAGCGTTGCCATAGTTACCACGCAAGAAGCGACCAACAAACCAGGCTAATGGAAGCTGAAGAGTCAATAAAAAAAGGTAATTAAATAAACATAGTGGGTGATATTGTTTTTTTAATGACTAATTACAGTCTCAATTTTCTGTATGTATTTTTTTTCTTTTTTCTGTTGTTTGTGTTGTATGACTCAGCAAACTATGATGTATAACGAACTAACAGCATCAGCAAAGAACAAGAGGCACTTATATTGTCTATTGTCCCACCATATTCCCCATGATACCCAAAACATGCCCTGTTATGCAAATGTGGCCATTAATTAAATTAATGATGCTGGAACCAAGGCCAAACACTGAGAACACATTTTAAAATACCCCATAGGACACAGAAGGAACATCATCCATTTGTCTTTAATTTGACTTTTTGTGTGACCTACCTCTAACCTACCTATACCTGTCATTTGGTTTACCATGGTCGCAATGCATATTATACAGTCTTAAAGGAAAACTATCATTTCGGTGCAAGATCAGTGCCAGCCACAGCTGAAAGTTTGTTATCAGTTATATGTGTTGGGTCTTACCTGCGCCATCATGCCCATGAAGGCCCAAAGTCTGAACATCCTGAGCGGAACACTCACCAGGTACTAAGACACAGAGGCAGACAGGTAATAATAATTTTATTACTTTAATTGATAAAATATAGCCTCAGCTTCTGCACAGCAGCAATTACCTGACAGAGGATTTTATAGTTTTGAAGAAATGGAGAGGGAAGGGTAAAACTTCCCTCTCCATAGCAGAGATTACGTGTACCTGATCTACACTTAGACCAGCCCAAGACTTGTCTACATACCACCATGAATTTCCCCTAGGGGATAAATAAAGTAAGTATCTATCTATCTATCTATCTATCTATCTATCTATCTATCTATATATTAAAAGTAGCTATTCTCTTATCTCTTACCTCATGGAAGAAAGCCGACAAGAGGAAGACAGCTGATTGGCTGACTATTTTACTGAATCCACTCCTCAGCAGCGGCTTGTAAAAGTGGCTAGAAGACAGACAAAGGGAAGGATTATCAAACCAGTCAATACACAGATCAGAGCTGAAGTAATTAGTATATCAACTGATTGGTTTCTTTTTCAAGCAAAAAATCTCTATTTAGAGCTTCTTAAATGTGGAGATCTGCTGCTTTACTTTGTCATATATGACAATAAACTGAATATCTTTGACTTTAAGACTCAAAAGAAGGATAATGATGATGCCACTTTGAACTTTCTTACTATTGTCTGTCATTTTATAGACTATTTTATAAGTCAAGAAAATAATTGGCAGAATAATCAATGATGACAATGATCATTAGCTGCAACCCTAAATGCGTATATGGATGCATACATTAGAAAAATCAAATGCACTGACACAACTTGTAGAAAAGAGTTCACTCATTTGTTCCATCAGTCACTTGCTATTTTATTCCCTGCTTTCTAATATGTTGAAGTGTCTTCCTAACTGATTGGAAGTCAAAGTAGTAAAGCCTCTTTAAAGACTCTAAATAGCCTTTTATTTGCTTTGTCTTGTTTAATATAACCTCACTGCTTTTGCTGCTATGTTAGTGTACATGGAACTGGCTGTGGGCACTGTATTTATTACTACCACTTAATCTCAGCCAGATAATTGAGTTTCCCAAATAGCCTTGTTAAGTCTTTCTCCCTGCATCAAACCTGCTGCTGTCTCCTGTGCTCAGTTCTATAAACTTCATTGCTCCCTTTCAATGTGTTAGTGTGCGAGTAACTCACCGTAGACACCACTTGTGTACAGGGATGTTCCAGTTCTGCCAGAAATATGTCACCGTCTCAGAGTTCCTGAAAGAAGAGTCAGGAAATAGTGTTGAAGTTGAGTGTTTGAGCATTAAAGGTACTAAATAAAGGCTCTCTGGCAGTTTAATTAATTTTGATGGACATGAAAAAGTCTGAAAACTGTATTATCAAGTGGGAAAAAATTAAATAATAGTAATTATCCTACAGTATACTGAGCGATGAAAATACCAGCAAAGGTACAATACACAAAATGATGTGTCAAAATGTAATTGTTTGACTCTAGTAGGGGCACTCTGAAAGCCCAAATGGTTTTAAACTTTCATAAAACAAGAAACTAGACTTTCCAAGCTCTTGTTTGGCCTAAAGCACTGAAATTATCCTACACACATGCTTACACTACGCAATTGTCTACATGCACATGCAAATACCAGTGCTTGCAGCAACTCTGAGCTGTCGGTCCGTCAACACTGTACATCACACCTCTTAAAATTCACAAACAACACAGGCACAAACAGACACACAAACTTACCACCAGTCCTGGTAAAACTGTCTGTCTCCAAAGCGCAGCAGCTCAGCAGTGAAGTTCATGGATGAGTGGAAGAACCAGTAGAAAAACATCAGCCACAGCAGGTGATTAGGAACCTAGAGAAGGGTCAGAGCATCCACGTGAACAAGAATGAATTGTATGAGTGTGAGACATTTTGGAGGAGAAGCCAAAACTAACTTCGAGTTGGAGCCTGATATAAAACTCAAGCATCTTCCCTACTTATAATCTGAGCATAGTCATGATGATATATAGTATATTCTCATGTACAGTAAGCTAAATGCTACAATATACATGACTATTTTAAAATATGCAGTGTGTAATGTAATTCTTAATTTGTGCAACAGAAACATCTTGAAAAGATGCCACTGAAATGAAAATATTGAGGAGATTCTGACTGTGGAGCAGAGTTATAGTTTCATCACGACTGCTTGCTGGAACTAAATGTGAGTTACAATTTAAATTCAGAGCAGAAGAGCTGAAAATCATCTTCATGGACTTAACATATTGTGATTATAGACACAACTATGATTTATAATTTATGCTGTTTCCTCCTATAAAGTGCTGCAGACAAACAAGCTTATTAAAACTGCGTGGGTCGAGTTTTTACTCACGGCTAATCGTAAGAGTCTCTCAGTCATTCTGGACAGATCCATGTCCTAGAGGAGGGGGGGGGGGGGGGGGGGGAGAGACCCATAGGTTAACAAATGCACAGCCACACTTTGCATCTGAAAACAACATGACACCTGGTTGTTCTGTTGACAGATTAAGCTTCACTGTCATTCTGTCTTCTTCACCTCGAGTGGTTTCATCGAGCTTTGAATGATGGGAATCATCCACTGAAAGACAGCAAGATGAAAAAAGAAAGCATTAGTTTTTTGGGGTTTTTTTTGAGTAGTTTATTCATGACATGTCTTTCTGGTAGTCAGAGAAATGACTTAACTGCATATCAGTTTCATTTAAATTCTAGTACTGATATAGATGATGAGATTAAAATACTTTTAACAGACAGAAGATTGTATCACCATACATCAGTTTTGACTTAGTTCATAAGACTGTACCTGTTGAGTGAGACCAACTAACAGCTGGGTGAAGAACAGCTGTGGAGAAACACACACATTCATAAAGTGAGTGACATTATCTCACAGTAATATATTGTCATTTCTTCCAAACTTCCAAAAAAAGAGGCATGAGGCATCCAAGTAATTCTACTATACTGTTTAGATGTTGTTGTCACCATGTCCCCAGATCTCAGCAATTCAGTTAACTTGTAAATGTTATCATAATCAGTCTGAATGATGCCCAAAACTGCAAAAGACCCAGTATTTATAAAAATAAATCAATCGCCCTCGTCACAATCACTTACAGCAAATTTTAAGATCTTTAAGATCTTCACAGCTGTGCAGACAAACTTGGCCTTGAGTACTTTTTTTGGGAGATGCCTTACAGAAATACTTTTAGGAAACACTTAGATTGATCATTATCAGGAGAAGAGCGCCCTTTTTCACTTGAGCATACATCTACAGTAAACGTAGTGTTTTCCTGGCTGATGCTGACATGAGATACTTCCTCACCATTTCAAACAGCCTTCTCAGCAGGAAACTCATGCGAATCCCAGGAGAGCGAGGGAAGTTGAGCTCGTAGCACAGAGTCGGAGCAAAGACAAAGTAGTACATGTCTACAGAGACGCGCAGAGGAGGTCAATGTCACAATTAATCAAAAAGGCGTGAAAGAAACATGACCAATTCAGTTTCATGCCAACACTAGAAAGGTGCATTGGAGTACCTCTGATGGTGAGGTTGCCCGGATAACACACCTTGCGGTCACCTCTGTTGAAATACTGTGGTGAGGGACCTGTGGGAATAATTAACACATAAACACTTATGCCTAATGTAAAGGCACTTGAAATGATGTGTTCTGTAATATTCTATTTTATGGGTTAAATAAAAATAAAACAAATGACAACTGTAAACACCAAATAAAAACCAGTGTTTGTTTCACAGCCACAATTTCAAAACAGATTTGTGATAGATATTGTTTGCTAGATACACATACTTTGTTTTTTTGTTTGTTTTATTAATCTGACAACTGCAGCATCACAAGTTTGCCATTAGATGTCACTGTAACAGCATGAGCAAGGAACTTGGAGGATCCTCTGGGTTACAAAAAAATTCAAAGCATTAACAGAAACTTGGCGAGGAATTAATTTACAGTTATGTCTTACACTGTGTGTGTGTGTGTGTGTGTGTGTGTGTGTGTGTGTGTGTGTGTGTGTGTGTGTGTGTGTGTCACTTACAAGACAGTGACCTGGCCAGTTTCTTGGCCTTGGCAGTGCTCAGCTCTCTGCACCACATGTTGACATCCTTGTATGAATACAGCTTTAGGAAGAGAATGGTGTAAATACCAAGTACGAACGCACCACCAACTGACAGAGGGGGGGGAGAAAGAGAGATCCTAGTTAACATTGTGATGTGGACATGGCTGTAGTGTGAGAACATGTAACCAACTGACATACTGTGTGGATGAACACAGAGATGAGAAGAAGAAATGAGGGAAAGCCACTAGAGGGCAGAAAATAATGAGCAAGAACAGAGGAGGGGACAGAGAGAAAGAGGAGAAGAAAGTGGACAAAAAGTGTGAGATGGGAGGATGGAGGGAGAGGCGGGAGCAGAATGAGCAAGAGAAACTCAAAGAGAGAGAGAGAAGGGAGGATTTAAAGAATGAAAGGGGAAGGGAAAGAGAGACAGAGAGAGGGGTCGTCATTTGATCTTTAACAAACAGCAAAACATGGCCAGTAAAATAAATCATCTCAACTCAAAATGAGAGCACTGTAACTATGCCAGTCACCATGTTGTTTACCAGTGTGGCTGTGTGTGTGTGGATGTGCGCACACACATAAAATTGTGCCAGTGTTTGTCTTTATTTGTCAATAGGGGAAAACTGATTTGATAATCAACATATTTTGAAGATGAGCAAGCATGTATACACACACACACACACACACACACACACAGACACAGACACAGACACACACACACACACACAGAGGCCACAGAGACTTTAACAATAGTCTGAAGGTGAAGACACACACCAACATACATACACTCACAAACTCGTACATGTGAACAAACACACAGACAAATGCACACATAAATAAAAACTGTGTGTTGTGCCTGCAGGGTGAGGTGGAGGTTAGCATACCTGACACCAAAACACAGCAAATCTTATCCATTAACCATCTGTCTCTCTGGCGCGATGTGGCAGCCAGACAGTTACAGTAGATAGTGATCACAGACACACACATACAAAAAGGCAGGGCTTAACATGCCAGAGGAGCCAATAATCATCCACCCACATTTACCCACCCAGATCATGAATTTTCCCAGAAACTCACCAACTCTCTCACTTAAAATTTTCAAAAATCTCAGCTAGGTTGACTACGTGATTTTTGTTGTTTTTTTCCGCCAGCAGTAGAACGGCAAAGACAGAATGTGACAATTCACTGATTAAAGTCGACATGCTTCACAGTAAGACGCGTCTCTTCTCTTTGGGGACGTATCTTGATCAGGGTAAAAAGTTCAAAGTGGTTCCACCACCAGAAAAGCCAGGCTCAGCTCCATCAGGTAATCCGATACCTTCTGCATGTATGTCAGATGCCAAGTTGATACACCTGACACACCACGCCTAACCTGTGCAATATGGATAATCATCAAGTTTAGAACTGTAGATGTGAAAACTATGAGGACATTAAAACCGAAAAATTCTGCTTCTTTTCTTATTCTTTACACTGAAAGCTATTCGACTATCTGCATCCAAATAAACATATGGCTGAGACAGACATATACCAACCTAAGATAATTTTCCTTCATATTTGAATTGTTGCTTTCTATGTCAATTATTTCATCATGTTTTATGATGAAGACGGTTCAACAAAACTTTTCAGCACTTTAATACCTCTAAGAACACTGCTTAATGTATAATGGTTGAATACTGTTTGCATAAGCAGAGTGTTACAGTTTGTTTTACACCTACTTGTAAAACACTCTCCCTGCACCAGACTTGGCACATTAAAAGACATCAAAAGCAGTGGAAATGATGAAATAATGGCAGTAGACAGTAGAGAGCAGAGCTCCCTCATCATTACAGTATTCCTCAAAAGAAATTCAATACAATTTAAAATGAACCTTGATATGAGATCCTTGCACTCTGCTTCATGTACAATAGCTATACTGGTTACATAAGAACCAAGACACACACACACAGACACACACACACAGACACACACACACAGACACACACACACACACACACACACACACACACACACACACACCTGCCCTCTGTCATCGCCCTTCCTGTGTGAACAGCAGCGCAGAGAGGAGAACAGACAGACAGATGGACTGATTCCTTTACTCCTTAACCTCCCAGTGAGACAACAGAGGAGAAGGAGAAGAGAGGAGAGGAGAGGAGAGGAGAGGAGAGGAGAGGAGAGGAGAAGAGAATATACCAAAATGGGAGAGTAGCAAAGCATTAAAACAGTGATTTTCCTGGATGAAATTAACACTACAGTGTGTACCAAAAAACACTTTAAACTCACTATCTCTCATGATCGTGATAAAGTTTAGGATCCAACTAAAGCTTAAAGAATAAAAGATTGCAGCTACGCCAAAAATCTGAGCTAAATACATTATGTTAATCATGTGAAAAATGCTCCACCTGTTTAACATTTGTGGGTTAAAGTGACAGTGGCAGTGAAAATAATTTACAATTTTAAGTTCATTACATGAGACACAAGAGAAGAGCATAAAACCCTGGTAGCGGAGCCACATTTTACCAAATTGTACCATAACAGACGCAGGTCGGCCTGAGGTAATGGGAAACAGTGGATAAAATACCCATCACTCTACAAATATGCACTTCTTCGTACATGTTGTTATTCCAAAAATATAAAAAGTTGCTTTTTTTGGTTGGTCTTGTTGCAACAGTGGCATTTTCTGTTGAATGTAAGCCATTGTGTTGCAGGCTATGTTGAGTCATTTACTAACCACACGACAGCAACATTTAAAAGGGGAATATCTGTATTTCTTAAGCACAGAGTCATATTATGCATCATGTAGTGTGCAGCATTGCAAATGCATCATAAAGGGAATCACACGGTTTGTGGAGGGCAGCCATGGTTTCTGTCATATACCCTCATAAAGACAGAGGAAGGTGACCAATAGATGACCCTGCTGCACACCACCCCAACCCACCCTAACCCCTCCCCTCCCCTCCCCTCCCCTCCTCTCCTCAGAGCCAGCTGGAAATAATCCAGTCATGACCAACTGGTCCATTACCACTAACCGGCTCCAATTATGACTCTGTATAAGACAAGTCTTTTTACTGCACTATCAAACTGGTCAACTGTTTCTCTGAAGGGCAAGGTTGTGAAAGTCCTCTTAATCTCCCATTACAATCATATTATTTTCTGTTTTATACACATGACTACATTGCAAACCACCATTGAATGGATAATGGTTTGGCTGCATAAGGTGCTACTGTTTCAGTCGACTATTTCTCTCAGTTATGTAGTTTGTACCAAAGCTGCAGAGATGGTATTTTAATAACAGTGTGAAACATTTTACCTGGGGTCACGGAGGGGACCAGCAGAACCACTGCAGCAGGAAATGTTAGCATGATTGCCATGTTAATGCAATGGACCAGAAATCCCACAAGTTCACTGAATGATCCCTGAGTAGAGAGACAGAGAGGGGCAGCAGGAGTTTTTATGATAAATCTTAAAAACAGGACGTTGTCCTGTCTTAAACCACTGTCACCTGACTTGTGAAGTGGCTTTATTTTGCTTGCAAATTTTTAACTCCATTCCTTATGTTATTGCTTTCACTCTAAAACACACTGACAAGAATACAGCTAAACATAAAAACTTTTAAGCATTTGTTTACTCAAAACAGAACTACATTTTGAGTTATGGTGGCCTAGTAAAGTTTTAAAAGGCTCATAATGTTCCATATTCATGCCAAACAGCCAGAGCATAACTGAATATGTCCTAAATGCAGATGGTGAAACTAATTTTCCCATTTTACCATTTAACATATGCAGATGCAGTTGGGGAGGGTCAGCTAGTCAGTCAGTTTTAGAGAACAGTTTTAGAAAAATAATCCCTCCTGGGAGTTGGGAATGTGCTCTGAATTCAACAGTTCAGTTAAAATCCACAGTGCTCTGATGTTAAAGCAGGGTTTCCCCACTCACCTTCGATAGCTGCCTTTCTGTGTAGAGAGCCACCACAATGAACACATTGGACACTGTCAAAACACAAAACAGTACAGACTCATGTCAGTTTATCTAAAACAATCCAGATTCTTTTTTTTCCTCTTACAGATCGACTTCTCAACAGGGTGAGAGTACAAAATTAAAGTAACTAGAATTACTTTTATACCTCCACCAACCAGCCAAGACGCATGAAATATTGGTCACATTCTCCCCTTCCTCAGTTATCCTATAGGACCTTTGTGTTAAACTTTGTCCTGGATAAGAAAGAACTTGCTCTGGTATAATATCTACATTAAAAAAGCAGGGCTAGTTTTGGGACATTTTGAGCCAAAAATAGATGAGGTAATTTTGTGGTGCCCCGCTTTTTCTTCAATGCACACTTTATTATGCATTAATTGGTGCCACTAACCCTGATTCTCTAAGGTGCAAATTAGGCTAAATTGTATGTAAATTTTCCCCTTTTTTTTATCTTGCAGCAGTATCAGGTTAAACTGCAGGGTAACTCACTGCTGAATGAACTTAGGGAAACCACTGGTATGTAGATTGCTCATTAGCCTGACTAGACTAGGCTGAGCCACACTGATGGCACATAATTGCAGCAATTGTTCCATTTTAAGACCCTAATCAGAGCATTAGCATGCCAATCCATCTAATCTAGAGTGAACAGATGTGTAAACTGCATTGTAAACAGACATTTTGAGTCTAGGGTCTTATCATCCTGTCATCAGTGTAACTATCCATCAGCATTGCTATTCCAAATCAATTTGTTTAATGGTTCAGCCACATGCTTGTTTTTTATTTCACAATATACTGAAGAGACAAGAAGGTTATAGGAAGGAACAGATGCCTTTCAGGCACAACTCTTTTTTCATGTGACAGTAACCAAATATGTGCACTAAACAAGCTAATTGCAAGTGAAAACTATTTTTATCCAACATGTCATAATTTGCAGTTAGTTAGATGAAGTAGGCATCACTTCTCTAGGCTTATGCAAAGATGTTCATTATAGTAACATGAGATTCTATATTTAGGCAAATGTCACATTTTATCTTACCCTCAGAAACAACTCTTCAGAGTAAACAACAATCACATACAGTCAGGAAGCCTACTATGTGTAATTTCCTCACAGTAATTCTTTTAACTAGGTGGCTTTTAACACAGGGACAACTATGATATTCAGAGAATATGCTAATGATAGTATCATGAAACATTATTATAATGTAACTTAAAAACAACCTGGCACACACTCAGCATAATTTGCTCCACTGAAAAAAAAGCACCCAAAAAGTAAATAAATAAATAAATACATAAATAAATGAATAAATAAATAAAATAACGCTGTTGTTTCTGCAGTGTTCAACCAAATCAGATTTTAATCATGATATTTTATTTTCCGATTTACCAAATGCTGAAAAGAGCAACAATGGTCCAAATCTTGTTTTCCCTGACCAATTACAGATGAGGGGGAGCGTGTTCATCAAACATAAAAAAAATCAAGTATCTGAAGGGTGGAGATGAAAAGAAAGTCATAGCATGCTATTTTATGTGTTTTTTCATCTCTTTTGGAAACAGGCCTCTTCAGCATCTTTGACAAACAGCAACTATTGTATCCACTTGTGCATCAAACTGAGACAAACAGCACCATTTAGCACCTGTTCGATGCACATAAACCTTTCACCAGGTATCTCCAGAGTACTTTTGCGAGACATTTTGAAAGCAACACATTTATGATGCAATGAAATACATCACATTAGCTTACATTAGAGTAAAATTCATTTCATTTTGGTCGCTCACAGGTCAGTTGGCTAAACGTAAAACCTCCTAGACTGGTTTTTCAAACCTTACCACTTTGCAGGTAGATTATCATACTGTGTGTTGGGGTATTTGTTTGTTTGGAGTGTGTGTGTGTGTGTGTGTGTGTGTGCGTGTGTGCGAGTATGTATACTGCTGCAGTGACTACTGAATGCCCTCTGGAAATGAGCTGCTTTACTGTCCATGCGACTGTAAACAGACTCCAGTTCCACCTGTCTCTTACCAATTTTCATTTACCTTAACTCCATCTATCTCTCCACCTCTCTTCTTTTCCCTTGTGACAATGCATCGCTTTACATCAACCCCTCCTCCTTCCAACTCATCTCTCTCTCATCCTTTTGCTCCCCATTTTATCTCGCCACCTCTTTCTGCAGCACTGTACCAGTGTGCAGTATATAGGGCAGGTGATTGTCCCTCTAGAGACACCGAGCTGCACCACTGCAGATTTCCACTGCAATATACTATAAAAATAAATATAGATAAAGAACTTTGAATATAGCATGTGCCACTGTGTGTCTTAAAACAAGGCATGGCTTAAAATGAGGCTGATCACACCACCTACACTAATGAAAACATGTTTACCGTTTTGAAATTAGTCCAGTTATTTCACCCAATTATCTAAACATGGTTTATTTTCAGTTAAAGTGTGAGTGTATATCACTTGGGGGGGCATTCTCAGACATATTAGTGCACAGTTCCACAAAGCTACATATGACTCCCACGTCTCCCTTATTATTTATTGAAACTATTGTGGGTTGTTTGTTCTAGCTTTTTATTCTTTATTTTCCCTCAAGTTGTAGCACTAGCACACTGCACCAAGTGATCACGTGTTTGAAGGGATTTTTCCACCCCAACTAAAATGATCAATATCAAACAATCATTTGTATTAATAATCAACAGAACTTTCAACAACTATTCAAAATTTTCTTCTTCAACACAAGAATGCATTGTTTGCTTTCCATGGTGTTGATATTTGGGGCAGTTATTTTTTAAAGTTTACCTACCAATCACCAGGCATGCTGCTGGCCAGCTGTATGGATCATTGAGAAACAAAGAGACAACCTGAATAGGGTCCACCAGCACGCCGTACCTGACAAACAAACAAACAAACAAACAAAAAAGAAACAGGCAAATTAAAAAATGTTAAATGTTAAAGAACTACCCACTGCATGTATATTGTCAATATAAAGGAAATGAATGATTGAAATTTAGTCAGTTGTTTACAATTGATGCCATATATAGATATCCCTTTACGGACTTTTTTACAGCAGACATTTTGACATGTCGTAGCAGGAAAAGCAAGTAAGCAATTTCAATGACCCTAAGTGAAATGCAGATGTTGTTGTATTAATTACACTTGTACCTTTCCTGCTATGATGTACAATCCACATATTTGATTTGGCATGGGTTTTATGCCGGACGCCATGATTCATTACGCAACCTTGGCCACCATCAGCCAACCTGCTCTACCACCTGAGCCCACAGCTGTGCTCTTCCTGCTATGACATGTCAAAATACTGGCTGTGAATAAGCTCTAATGTCAAAGATTTTGAAGGATTAGTAAAAGCACTCTGTAAGAGCAGGAAGTTTTTAACATTTTTGAGACTGTGGTTCTTCTTTTTGGAATATTGCAAACATCACTGTAATTTCTGTTTAAGAATGACACACTGGGTATAAGCAGTACAGGAAGCCTATAGAAATAACTGTCAATAATTTATGTGAAAAATACAGGAATAAAAAAATGAGATTTATTCAAAGACTCCAAATTTACCCACCTCAACAGGTTTTCTAAGAAGAGGCGAGCATTACTCAGCACCTGTAATAAAAGGCAAAAGTTAAAGACATAACTGTCTAGCTGTGTGTTTCTGTCACACAATACTCCCTACTCCTTTCTCTCTACTTATGTTTCTTTCATCCTTCTCAATCATTTCTTCCCTTAATTGAATAAACTTATCCTTCCATATTATCCTCCTCTATGCTCTCCTCTCTTCTTCTGTTGCTTCCCATATATCTCTCTTTCCTCTCCTCACCCCATTTCTCCTCCTCTTCATCCTCCTCCTCCCATCATTCTTTTTATCTCTCCTCCTCACTCTCCTTCTTTCTAAATGGATTGTAATATCTCATTACCCAGCACAAAGGCCTTATGCCTGGGGATGGGACAGAAGTTCAGTGGGAATGAAGGAAAACCTCCTGCGATGAACACAAAAATCTGTGTTCAAAGCCTGGATTAACAAAAAGCCTTTGCTAGCCTCCTCTTCTCTCCTTTTCTTATATTCTGTCACTTCTTCCAAGCACAGAGGAGTGAGAGCTGTGAAAGATGTTGAGTTTGACATAAACTTGTTAATTATATTAAATTATTTTACTGTACTTGCTCATTTGGATGTTTTGAAAAAATTCAGACAGATCAGACACAAATGCAATTTGGCTTCTTAACACTGCTGAGAGCTGGAAGTACATGCAAATGTTATGTCCTGCATGCCTGCATATACGGCACCTTTCCCATTCACACAGCTATATAAGACTTACAAATTTACCAACTTTTGAGTGTCTTCCAAAAGCTGTTTTCAGTGGTCACAAATTCCCAGGTTGGAGAGCCGAAACAGTAGATGTGTTTTCACATTTGTCCTTATATACAACATATGGAGTCATGTGTGTGTCTATATGTATGTGTTAATTTGTGTGTGTGCACACTTATGTCTTACCAGCATTACCACACACCAATTGAGGATTCCTCTGTAGTTATTGTAACCACTGGTTGAAGTCAGCAGGGACTCCTGTGTCCTGTGACAGCTACAGAAATAGATGGAGGCATGGATCAATCAAGAATAATATAATCTTAATTTAGGTTTATTTACATTTGACACATGGAATATAACTATGAGGAAAAAGATGAAAGTGTTTTGTGGACGTACAACGACATCTGTCAGTTTCAGTAAGAAGAAGAAGAAGAAGAACAACAACAACAACAAAAGGGGGTCAGTGATTAGGTTCAACCATGGGACATTTTTTTCCAGCATTGTTCAACTTACTCTCTGACTAATTTGAGTAAACTACTCAACTTACTCCTTATATTTTTGTATTTTATTTATCTCAGCAATAAAACTATTCAGAAATCTGATTGTTTTCCCCACTTGTAAATAAGGGCTTTAAGCAGTAAATGTCCCTATTCACTTGGCCAAAACTATTCAAACATGCAAAATATATGCTTTGAATAACACTATGTGACTTGAAATGTAATCGATACATTATCCATACCCAGTAAACAGTAACCTGTTTCATTTGTGGTTGAATGAAAGTTCTGCTGTTATTTTATTTTATTTATTAATCATCACACCATTTCTGTTAGACTATTTGTGTTTGTGATGTAAATGATTAATATTATTAGATGTTACATTGTCAAATTTACTGGAATTTACTTTAGCCACAAAATTTTTACCCAAAGGAGATTAATTCATTACCTTATTTATTAAATTATGCAAAGGTTTCAAAAATAAATGAGAGGCAGCAGTTCAGACAAAGCATAAAGTAATTAATAGATGTGAAATCATATTTGTTTGCTACTTGTTAAATATTCAAAACTGACCAAAGTTGTACTTGATGTTATTGATAATGTCCCTTGGCACCCTCTTTTTATTATTCCCTGGTGGTACACAACAATAAAGTATACTCATTTCTTGTATACAATATACTAAGTAGTACTGTATCAAAATTAGTTCACAGGGTATACTTTAGTATTATGCAACTGGAACACTGCCTAAGGAGATTAAGCACATTTCATTCCTTTTCATGGGACACCCATTAGATCCGCCCCTGATCAATGAAAGAGCCCACAAGCCCAAATTAGCTGTGTGTATATCCTTGAGCCATGAAGGGTAAGGGCTAATGTTTTTGTTTCTCTGCCATGCAGCACTGGGACACTGGGAATCTAAATATGAACGAGTGACTTACAACAGACACAAAATGAGCAGGGCTTGTTCAGGATGACCCTGAACGACCCCACCTGTCCTACACTGACCAGCCGTTAACCCCTCTCCTCCTGCTGCAAATTTAAACTAGCTAACGTTAATTACGACACCTACTAAATTAGGCGGCAATAGTGATAGCTTAAAATAAATATAGCTTTAGCGGCGGGTCCTTTAAAGCTTAACGTTAGCCACTTGATGACAAAACAAACACTGCTAAACTTTCATCAAAGAAACACTTGGGTAGGTTTGGTACTCACCTCAGTCTGTCACCAATGTCATTCCTGCGTTTCTTTTTCTCATTCTTTGATTTAAACAGGGCTCTCTCCAGTGAATGCTCACGTTTTTTCTCCGAACCATTGTCGGTGCTAATGTCAGCGATCGCTGAGCTCTGACATACCGCTGCAGACCTCCCGTTCATCGGCTGCAAACTCGCAACTCTCCCCGCTGCGAAAGTCGCTCTTCTCCGTCGAGTAAAGGCCCCGACCGCGTCCGAGTCACCCATGATGAAAGAGAGGAAAAACTTATAAAAGTTCACTTTAGCAATTTATTCCGTTTAGTAGCATGCCTATTGCTACTGTGACACACAGCCGTAGTCGCATGGAAGAGAGAGGGAAGTGAACAGGCTGCCAAACAGTCCGCCCAAAGTTCAGATTTCCGTACAGTTGACATGGAGGAAGGAGTGTCCATGAGGCCACATGAAGCAAAAACAGTCTGATACTGTAACTGGTGAGTCAGACCCTCAGGGTTCAATAAAAATAGGGAAACATTTAGGTTTCAGGCTGAATGCACACCTGGACTACAACCTGGATACAATACAATACTATACAATACAATAGACTGAATGATTTCTTATTAAAATGCAATTATTAGTAGTATGTTAATTAATTTGGCAATAAAGTAACATCATCATTCATGCCAGTTAAGCCTTTTTAATTGATCTGATTTGGTTTTGATACATATGTGTTTTAAATTCCTGTTATCTCATCAGGTAACATGCATGTGATACTGGTTGATTGTCAGCAAGACAGACCACCTGCTGAATAGAAAAGGATAGTAGATAAAACAGTCTCCCCTAAAGGTCCATTTAGTATCTGCGCTTGAGTTTTCAGTCATATCAAATAGTAGATCAGTTCAAATTCCCATTGTTTTTTCCTCTGAATAAGAGCTAATCCTCCATGTTGGCTTAAATATTGAGATTCATTGTAAATATGTATGTAGAAAAAAAGGAAGTAAGCTAACTGAAAATGTGATATGGGGTGGGGGGGTGGGGTGTGTGTGTGTGTGGTGTGTGTGGGGGGGGGGTGAATAGGAAAACGAACATGGTCTTTCTTCTGGTTCCACCCATCCATAGTTTTATGGTGTGCAATAAGCATTACAGCCCCACACAGCCATGAGTGTGACTAATATGGACTGTTAGTGTTGTTAAAGATGGAGTGCTCCATCAACTCTATGGCTAAAGTAGTTTAACAGTTTAATTTTAGGGATTATTAATTCACTGTAATGGATTGGATTTGGGTTTCCCTTTTAACTATCTTCCCTGAGACTATGGCAATAAGGGATGGTTACATCAGACTCCTGGTGTATACAAGCCCAAAGACTTTGAAAGCTTTCATTTAAAGAGAATGCTCTTTCTGTCTTTTCTACTTCTGTGTGCTTATCCATGCTAAGGTGGGAACTGATCAGTGGCATTGATCCAGCTTTATCAGTCCCTACTGTCTATAAGGTTGTCTTTTAGAGTAATGAGCCTGTCTCCCATTGTTGGGATAAGAGACCTTGGGGAGGGATCAATAGGAAACTTATAAACTAATTGTTTTAACTCTTAAACTCCTTGATGAACTACATTTGTCTATATTTTCCCCAAATCATTAGACTATATGAAATTCCATATAAAGTTGCCCTTGTGGTTTTCATCTTGCTGTAGTGACAGTGTTGGTTAATTATGAGGGAAAAAAAATCAACATTTCTCCTCCAGATTCAGACTTTCACTATTGGTTGGCTGGAGTCTCTTTTCTAACAATTTGTTTTAATCTTCCTCAGGGAGGCTGTTCCACTGAAGAGACATCTTGACGTCCCACCATATCCACAGCCTTTTTATCAGCATGTTATATGAGCCAGTAGAGGGAGTCCAAGGCTTAAATCCTGTTTCTACCTTTTGGTAAGTCAGGCATATGTTTTATGTCTTATTTGAGGGTTCCAGTTAAAGTCTGTGTTTTCTGAGGATTTCAACTGATCTTCAACAGATGATGACTCAAAACAGTTATTGATATTATAGAAGTGCATGAATGAAGATGTGGCAATAAGGCAACTCCCTAGTTTTTTTTCTCTCAATAAGTAATGGAGAGGGTTTTAAGAAAGCCGGAACAGTGAGTCCGAGTTGAACTTAGGACCAGTCCCTTTTCGTACCTATAATATAGAAGTCACTGTGTTGCGTGCGAGCCTCCTAATGCTGCACAGATCAGGTTATTTTTGATAACCGCTAGCCATTTAAAATTTAGAGAATAAGAGGTTTTAGCTATGCATTATTCATGCTTTCTGTAAGGCCTCAAAAACTGAAGCTTTCTACAAGCTCTATTTTCTCTTTTCATATGTCTCTCTCTCTCTCTTTTCTGTCTCTCACTATAGAAAAACAATCTTTGACTGCTGACTGTTTCCCCATTTAATACCTTTTTTTTTTATCTTATATGTCTCAATTTATCTGTCTGACTATCTAAAGATGCCCACAAAAGTATGTGGGCATCTTAACATTACACCCATATGTGACATTTTCTTATTTCATTATCACTCCAAAAACATGAGCATCAGTGTGCGGCTAAAATAGCCTCCACTCTCCTGGGGGATGTGGCAGGGCTCAAATTTTTGTTCAACATCAACGTCAGAAAACTATTTCTTTTTGGACCTTGCTTTGTGCTCAGGGACACTGTCATGGTTGAAAAGGCCTTTCACAATCTGTTGCCACAAAGCTGTGAGCACACTATGATCCAAAATATCACTGTATGTTGTTGCATTAAGATTTCCCTCAATTGGAACATAGGGGCTGAAACCATGAAAAAATGTCCCAAACAAAAAGTATCTTTACAGGGGGGTGGGGAGGGGGGTGCACATACTTTTGGCAACTTTTGTGTGTGTTTCTATCTACTCTGTAGCATTCATGTTGCTGCATCTTTTCGTGGGTTAGAAATGTTTACATCAAGTTGCTTAACCATGCTGGCACTTGCTCAAGGCTAGGTGGGCGAGGAAGGGAGAAAGACTGTGTGATTGAAAACATAGATATAAGGCGATAGATTTAGAGACAAAAGATAAATATAGAGACGAAGGAACAAGAGAGAAAAGAGCAAGGTGGGGGGGTATAAAGAGAGAGAGTGATTTCACTTTCCATCTACTGTATATCTCTATCGCTCTCTCCCTCCATCTGGAGAGGCAGAGGGAGTGAGAGATAGTGTTTGCCCTTGCAGGTTGTAATGAAGCTGTGGAAGGATAGATGACTCACTTTAACACAAGCAGAGGAGAAATACACACTCTAACATCACTCAGCTGACCTGAGTGAGTGTTTGTGTGTGTGTGTGTGTGTGTGTGTGTGTGTGTGTGTGTGTGTGTGTGTGGGGGGGGGTGCATCTGTGTGAGGGCCTGTGTGTTTGTGGTGGTGATGGTAGGAGTTTGTGTGACAATAGAGACTGATGCTGATTATATAGGAGACTGGATGGGGTGATAAAGGTATCACTAGCTAGACAGACTGTGATAGAGAGGGTTTGTGTTCTGCTGTAACATGTGCATATGCACTTTTGTGTGTTTGTGCACACGCTAGTGCCTGTTCATGTGCATTTGCACTTGTGAGCACATAAATCTGTGTGCAATTATAATGCACACCAAGTGTACACCCTTCTGTGTATATGTTCAACCACACATTAATATGTGTATGTGCATGTTTTTGTGCAGGCGCCTATTTAGACATGCACCTGCGTGTGTGTGTGTCTGTGTGTGTGTGTGTGTGTGTTAGAGAGAGAGTGCATCATGGAGAGACAGATAGAGGCGTCATCGCGCTGTTAGAGGGCTTGGCGCCACGTCAGCACTTCTACAGTTCAGCCAAGGACTCCTGCACACACTGTCCATCCATCTCCACATGTCTGAGGGAGTGAAAAGGTTGAGAGGGAGAGAGAGAAAGAGAGAGGGATGTACTGCCTGCTAGATGAATGGAACTGGGAAGAGATTGGGAAAAGAGTGGATGGAGGAATGAATGATAGCAAACTTCCTAATGTCAAGGACCCTGGAAAAGATCTGCTTGTACAGCTGATAAAAGAACTACACCCTCACATGGCCAGATCATGGTCTGTCCTAGTGTTCTGGGTAATGCAGCATCCTGTATTACTGGACTCATCCACCCTCATTCCCTACGGAAAAGTGAGCTCCACTTATCCACAGGCCTTCTCTCCTCTTGGCTTTCTAATAGTGGAATAACCTTCCCATGATAGTCAGAACTACAGAGCAACTTTCTGTTTTCTGATCTATCTGAAAGCTTTTTCTTTAAAGAACCCTTCAGGTTCCCTCCCTCACTGAATCATGCAGCACTCTGGAAACCCTTCTGTCGTGTTTAAAAAACTGACCTTTTCTCCCTAGCTTATGTTTCTGTGCCTATTTTTTTCTTAGTATACATGACTATTATTGTAGGAACATATGAATGTTGTTACATCTACGAGGAGAATGCTGTGGCTCAGACTCTTGGGATTTTTACTTGGACTATAATTTGATGGATATCAGTTTTGGCTAATAGTCTCTGGCTAAAGTGTTAAAGTGTAATTATATTTTCTCCCCGGCAATATCTGAGATTTTATTTCTGTAGAGAATTAGATAGTAAAGAATTACATCATAATCAAATAGCTGATTTTTATCAGTTTATAAATGATTGAAAGTTCTCTATTTGCTCAATTTTGAGAGTTATGATATTATTAAAAAAAAATTCTTTTGACCGAGGACAACATTAGTGTTTTGTCCAATCAGATTATTCAGGGCAAGTCCCTCATTTACATCAGAGCCCCACAGTACAGCCAGTCAATAACTGTTTCTGCTTTCTTGTCAGCTTCAGCAGTTTGATGTTTATTGGATTTGGACAAACATATTGTAAAAAATACCTTTAACAGCACTTTAGGAAAAACTGATCTTAGTAAAACACAATGTGTTACTTAGACCTTTTCTCTGTTAGAATTTGTCTTGATGAAATATATTCAAAAACATATATATATATTATGTGTTAAACATTTTAGTCAAGTATGGAGGGTAAAAGATGACTTGTATTGTAGGTGCACCCCATGGCTGTCATAATGTTTTGTTTGCCTCTTTATTATTACTTTTTCATTAAATACTTACTCCCACTTCATCATATGATAGTGGATATGTGCTTGGGCCAAACCATGGTTTTGTATTTGTCCCAAATGTATCCCAACTTGAAACTATCACTGTCAACCAGGATCCCCTTTGATGGTAAATACCTGTGTCTCATTGGCTGTGAACTTATGCTTCATGTTGACATTGTTGTCAGTTTGAGTATGAATCACACCCTGTCAGATGTCACATTGGCTCTAAAGCCCTGACTCTCTTCCCTATGTCGTTCAGTCTTGCATTTTACAGAAAAA